CGCACTTGCTCGATGTGCTGCCATTGCTGCTGATGCCATTGCTGCCGTGCATCCACTCTTACTCGCCCACCTCTTTGCTCCCCTCCGCGAATGGGGGCGCGCTTGTTCAATGTGCTGCCATTGCTGCTGATGCCATTGCTGCTAATGCAATTGCTGCAGATGCAGTCCACTCCAGCCCACGCCCACGCCCGCTCTTACTCGCTCATCTCTTTGCTTTGCTTTTCTCCGCGAATGGCGGTGAAGCCATCTCGTCCGAATACTGCCATGCATCCGTCGTACATGTCACAATTTTCGCTCATTTTAGCGCGGCAAGAGCAGAAGAGCGACCATTTAATGACAAATGTTGGTACGAATGTTGCCTGAGCGCTGCCAAATGTTGGTACGATGTTACGCGACGTGGGCGCGAAGGTCGTAAGGTTACAAGAATTCCTTGGCCCAGCACCCCCAACGACAGCTCTAACGAACTGCGAAATAGAACCTAGGAGTTTGGTCCTATTTCACTTTCGTTTTGCAAACAAAATTTTTTTTTAAAAAAAATAGCTTTAAAATTTTTGAGGATTTGCATTTTTTGGATGCTAGAAAGTGTGCTATGATTCGTCATACAATTGAAAGCTGCATGCTTTGTTGTTTTAAGACACGGAAGTTACTTCAGGCCCAGATCTAATACAATATCAAGTAAGTCGGAAGCAGCTTCCTTTCCCTCACATTTACCGTTCGCACTTAAGCCGGATCCGGGTTAGGGTATTCTTACAAATAAGAAGTATTTAAAATTTTGCTGCGTATTAAAAGAGCTGCCTTTGTCCACAAGACAAAGTACTTGCATATTTTAAGTAAGAACAGTACCGGTATATGATCTTTCTGATGTGTCTGGCTTTTGTACCGTCATGGGAGGAAATCCTACAAACACTCACAAAAGAGACATGCAACACCCAAATCATCCTCAGGGCACCCAGGTAAGAGCAGGGCAGGCTTTCATACAACACGTCGGGTTGTCCACAAATCGTGCAGTCCTTTCAAATAGGCTAACGAAAATTCTAACAGATATGAAGGGCCAGCATTCTCTAAATCTCTTCGTACCCGCCTCCACATCTCTCTCCCCCTCCCCCGGTCGTCCGTGCTGGTGCTCGTTGTCCTCTGCTCTCGCCTCTGCCGTATGCTGCCGGTGCTCGTTGTCCTGATGCTGGTGCTCGCTGTCCGTGCTACTCGTCGCTGACGCTATGTGCTGTTGGTGCTTGTCGTCCGTGGTGCTGGTTCTTGTTGTCCGTGCTGTTGGTGCTCGTCGTCTTGCTGCTCTCGTCTCCGCTGTGTGCTGTTGGTACTCGTCGTGTGTGTTGCTGGTGCTCGTCGTCCTGCTAGTGGTGCTCGTCGTCCTGCTGCTCTTGCCTCCGCTGTGTGCTGTTGGTGCTCGCTGTGCTGTCCGTGCTGCTCGTCGCTGACGCTGTGCGCTACTGGTGCTTGGCGTCGTGGTGCTTGTTGTTGTCGTCCGGCTGCTGGTGCTCGTCGTGTGTGCTGCTGGTGCTCGTCGTCCTGCTAGTGGTGCTCGTTGTCCTGGTGCTCGTCGACTCGGCGTGTGCTGCTGGTGCTCATCGTGTATGTTGCTGGTGTGTGCCGCTGGAGCTCGTCGTCCGTGTTGCTGGTGCTCGCGCTCCTATTGCGGGGGTGGCCTCCCAACGCGTCGTCTGTGTTGTGCACGGAACCCATCTCTATCAATCAAAGGTATGCTGGAAAGCAATTATGCGGTTTTATTGATCTTAACAAATGTATTAACCAATGCTGTATCTTATTTTATCTGCAGCGCTGGGGGATTGAGACAAGGGCGCCCAGGAAGTCTACCACCGTAGGCACCTTGACGTTTGTGTGGCCCACGGTATACGAGTCTCTCTCGCTTGTCCATTGCGTGAACGCCACAGACGTGCTTTGCCATCAGCGTGTGGATGCATGCCGCAAACTTCTGCCAGTAACGACACGGACACGTCCAAGACACTGTATTTACAGGCCAGCCACCGTCAGGCATTCCTTCAATCTCCATTCTGGCTGTCTGCTCACCGAGCTGAGCCGTGACTGATAGCGCCTCGCGGGAACGCTTTGCTTCGGGGTCGAAGACACGTGGTACTTGGCGAGAGATAACCCGGACAACCTGGGTTGAAGCGCTTCCACCTTCATCGGCATTGCTTAGCAAATATGCAATTGAGTTGCGGAGACATTGCGGCTCCAAAAGCATTCCGGCTTTTCTCATTGCACTGGCGCGCCGAACAAGGGTGACACTTGGTGCTGGGTCCAGACCAAATGATCTTAAAGTGGTGCTTTCGTGAGTGCAGCATGCCATTAGCTGACGGAGCAGATAGCCCATTTTCATCCTTACACGCAGCGTGTAATCGCGTTTGAGGGACGCATTGAACGTTTCAACAGGGTTATTCGTCACAGCAAATGCTGGAGGAGTATGGAAGACCTGCCACCTCCATAATCGACCCGTCAACCATTGGCGCTTGAAATATTCCGTGAAGCTCTCAAGACCCGGAATCAGCGCCCAGTCGTTCAACATTCGTGTCTTGACTTCTTCATACTCCAACTCACTGGCGGCAAAGTGCAGGTCACGAACACCTCTAGCCAATACAGGGTAGAGAGAATAGTGGAGCTTCCTCGTCTTCTCATGCACTTTTGCAGCTACATGGTAAAAGAACGTGAGTACTTTAACTTCGCTATCAGCTCCGAGTACACGAGCGACGGCATTGTATTGAGCGTCGTCGGCGTCGCCCATCGCAAATCGCACAGCTAGTTGTTTACCGGTCACTTGAGAGTAGACCTTCTGAAGGGCCATTAGCGCCTCTTTCCTTTGCGAAGACACAAAATTGCCATGAGATGAAACTTTCGACAACAGTATGTGATGCCTACGACAAACACAGGGTAGTCAACGTGGTTCAATATGAGCGTTGCATCCATGAGCAGGACGAACGTCGCAGGATCTCGATCTGCCTGGCGCAGTAGCTTCTTCGATGACACCCCCACCAAGAACGGGTTTGCATCAGCTCCCGACCCATCGTACGGTCTTCCCTCTTCTTCCGTTCTCCACGTAAATGAAAATGCATCGAAATCTTGCTCCTGGCCTGTGAAGGCTGTTTCGCGAACCATACGCCTCACGTCGTCGAGATAGTCGTTGGCACCAACGGTTTTAGCAAGGTAGTTGTAGACGAAACGTTGCACGACCTTTAGAGGCGGCAACGTATCGGGGCCAAGCTTAAACTTTCGCATTAATCCGGTACGGATCCGCGCTGGCTTAAGCCCTTGATCCGTTATTTCATGGGCAAAACTCTGCATTGCTCGCGTAATGCGGGGTGGTCGAGGCGACCGGCGAGTACTTACGTGCGAGCCTACCTCGAAGAGATCAAGGAGATCTTCTTGCTCGCACTTCAGCAGCTTTCCGCGCCACTCGCATCCAGCATACGGCATTGCAGCCTTACACTCGTTGCACTCGCAGCGTAACAGGCGCTTTCTCATGTTGTGGGGCGCAGCGTTGGTACAGACAGTGCATGGAACATGGTCGCTCTTTACAATTTTGTAGCTTCTAAATAACCCCAGAAGTAGATCGATGTGTTCCTGGCTCAGGCCGACAGCAAGTTCCGTCCAGGGTAAGGCGCGAGGCATGGTTCGATGGTGGAGAGGGGGGTGTAGCTGCGTGGAGTCTTTAAAAGTGAGCCAACACATTTGTCTCTTTGCTAGTGTGGTATTGGCTAAAAAAGTGCTACTGATGAGTTTTGATTGGGTGCTAAATGAATGGATTTGACCAGGTTTGCAACCTGCTTGAAAAATGTGATGGGCAGAAATGCAAGTCGTGCGAAAAGTGGCTTTTTCATGCAAATCGCCAAATGCCGTAGCCTTAAATTAAAAATGGTGTGACCCCACACAGCCTTAAATTAGATCACACAAGAACAATTTATTTGCAATATGGCTGGTAAAACTGGATACTTGGCCGGGAAATGGTGTAGTCTTTCTGTGTAAAAATGCGTTCCTTCTTAAAATTTGTGGTCATTACAGTACTGCACCCCGTTTTCGCGCCCTCGGACCTTTGATAAACTTCAGGATGTAATGATCCTCATACCAATTGAGCCATTGTTTGTCAGCTAAAATCTGATTTATTTGCAAATCCTATATGGTCCACCTCCGCGAAAACGGGGATGCAGTACTGTATATCCAATCAAAACTACTTGTATAGAGTATTTTTCTGTAGAATCTAGTACATGCACACTATGGGGGATACTGGTCAGTGCTGGCGTATTTTTCCGTGATCGTCTGAAATGCAAGCCTAAGTCATGAGGTCAGAATGTTAAAGTCGACACCTACGCGAACAAAGCACGTCAGTTCATCGAAGAATTGTTAATCGATTGAGGCAATTCTTACCGTAATGCACGAGTGTCAAGTGCAGAATGATAATGGTCCATACAAACAAGTGGCATTGCACAGCTTGCATATGCGTCTCGAGTACGAACGCTACTTGATACAAGGGTGAAAAGCCGAATTTACGCTTCAAGATGACAAGCACAGCGACAAACGCTGCGAATTCAATCGTAGCATAAATGAGAAAGCTCGTCACTGCCTCCTGCAACCGTTTGGACGTCCTCGACGCTGTGTTTGGGTAGTAAGCTGATATCGGTAAGCAAAACAACGCAGCCAGATATGGAGCATACAGCATCGGGATGATGAACTCGGTGTACTTGGCCAGAAGAATATACTCGGAATGGAAGAGAGTATGAAGGTCATGGGCAATAGTATCGCCTCTCGAAGAAGCTTTGGTTACAGCTAAATTTCCATTGAGCATCGACGGGCCCAGCGAGACTATTGTACTGGATGGGGCGATAATGTTTTTACTTTTTTCTGAAAGCGTAAGTGGAAATGGCGCAAGTAATCGAATGTTTCGACACTTGTGGATCTCAGCGTCTTTTTCCAGTAGTGCTGGCAATTCCAGTATAAAACCCTGTGTCTTTAGCGTACCAGTATGATGAACAATGGCTTGTAACGCGAGAACGAGGTTGAAGCCATCCGCCGCCATGATGATGACTGTAGTCATGATCGACTTTGACGCTTGCATGCAAATGGAGGCGTAAAATACATTGAAGAGATCCACCGAGAGCACCACAACCAGATCAACATATTCGTGATAATTTCTTGCTACATTCGCAATATTTTGTTTCGTGACAAATTTGAAAAGTGGCATCGTCAAAATGAATATTGTCTGTTGCGTCCCTGACAGGAGATTGAACACAGCGCTAAACAGTGTAAAGCACCCCACGACGACTCCCTGGTTAGCGACGATGAGTAGCTGCGAGCTGATATGCTCTCTAAGCACCGGTGACTGCAGTAGAACTCTCGGACCAATTACCAAAATCGTGAAAATTGAGAAAAATACGACGTAAGGGCCAATGTTAAGTACAAAACCGAACGGAGTCGGGAACCTCCATATCACTGCAGCTATAAGCAAAGTGGCGACGCTGCTCATAGCAGTTCCCAGTGCAATTGTAACAATCCCACTCAGTGGTAGCGTGGCTGGCTCGATGACTTCTCTCACTTGGAAGGTGACGCCCACGGTTGCAACGAACAAAGACAGAAACAGGCGGATCCAGACGGCATAATTGGCTTGCCAACCGTCCGAAGGAGGCTTGAGAGGGATGCAATCAAGTACAAACGCCGTTAATAAAGCAGGAATTGGAGTGAAGACACAAACTGCGATGACACGAGCGAGCGAGGTGCGCTCATGATAGTCGCGAAATGCAAGAAGACGCTCGATGGAATACTGGCTTCGGTGTCCAATATGACTCCGCTGCCACGATGCAGCAACCTTGCGTTTGACTTGGGTGAAGAGTGATAGCTGTTCTCGTTTCTCTGGTCGCTCGAGAGGCCCAACACGGTGCACCATGCTGCCAGTACTTGTGCGTAAAGTGATGGTCAATTCTGTCTTTATAGGTTTTGTTCGTTTCTGAATTTGCAGTCACTCTATGATGAGCTGCCACTCCGAGTTCTCTCAAGTTTCCCGGTTGTTGTGCTGACTCATACCGGTAAGAATGTACTCCGTGTGCAGTGTTCGTGGCACGAATCGTGCGGGGACGAATCCTAGCGTCGGTACAAATTGTGTTGTCGTGTCTGAGCGACGTGCCGATAGCTGCATGATTGTTGCCACGTTACGTGGATCTTAAACGAGACGACCGATACGTATACCTGGCGTCTCCATATTCGCGCCGACTTAAGCTGCATCGCAGCTTCATACTCATCAATATCAGCAACAGGAATGATCCATGTACATGTATAAGCTGGAGGCAGTTATTGCCTTCTTGCCATTATTAATACAAACTTCTGTACACACGTTTGTGCTGTCGGGGATCCTCGATTGCAGGATAGTCAGCGACATACACTTTAACTTCAACGTAAAAGGACGCGAACTTCCGCCGTCAGCGAAAGAGAGCGCGTCTGGACGACCGCGCGCGGCCACACATATGCGTTGAGATCAGAGACCGGGCTTGCCAACACTTGGTGGCGAGACTAAAATACATGTGCACTTGCGACGTGTCCGCCACTAGATCACAACACATGGTGCTGTTCGGAGCTAGCAGCCCAACTCTATTTCCTACAGGGAACACTGTTCCCTGTAGGAGATAGTTATGCTGCTACGGCGACGCAATATATTGCCATAACTGCATTATAGCGCTGACTTTTGTGATTTAGGTGCGACTAGCTGTACGGTAAGTCATAAAGGTAAAGATTAAAATCACATAACCTACCTAATAGAATCGATCGCATCTGATTTAAGTGTCAAACTCACCTGTAAAGCTATATATACAACAATAAAGAGTTGGAGATGCATACATTCAAGCACTGTCGTTTTGGTCCGGATTGGTACAAGGAAAGGTGGTGTTCATGCTGAACCTCGACATCTTGATTTCAGTATGCTATCTAACTGCTTGATGCGCATCAGACCTGATCTCGAGTGCGAGTAGGCGATCGCCGCGGTCGACTGGCAGCGACTGGCAGACCTTGGCCAATCTAATCGGAACGTCCGATCCCCATTTCTCAATCAGGACTCGAGTCTCCACGCTCGACTTGATACCTAAAGCTCAGAAAAGCAGACAGCGAAAGCGGACAGGGAAAAAAAAAAAGCTAAAATGGTCAACGCGCTGGACGACTACGCGGACGCGAGCACCACGCGCAACATCGACGAGAATGTGCACACTCTGCCCGTTGCTTACGATGAGAAGGACGATATGGAGTCGCTCAAGGCCCGTCTGCAGCGCCGAAAGAAACCCATTTACGCTGGTCTCGCCTTCCTAGCTGTGGTCATCATTGGCGTCTCCGTTGGCTTCTCCTCGACTGGAAGCTCCAGTGCCAACACGGAGTCCGCACAGGTAACGCAGCACATGGGTACAATGTGAAATGAAACTACAGTATTAATCTATTCGCTCGGAATGTAGAAGGAGACTGTGGCTCCTCCGAGCAGTGCGGATGACTCGACTCAGACCAATCAGCAGACCCAAGAGGACTCTGACGCTGGCGCTGTTAAGGCTGCCAAGGACCCGGTCTCGTCTTCTAGCAGCTCCAAGTGGAGTTCATACAGCACGTCCGGATCCGAATCTGTTGCTGGAGAGGCTTCAGCTGCTCAAGGCTGGTCGCTAAGTAAGTCTTTATCGTGTTTTCAGATTTTCTTAAGTATTTTTTTTTAACAAAATCGATTATTTACAGACTCGACGGAGGGTTCTTCAGCGTCTACGCCCACTCCGACCCCCACGTCGACGCAGACTCCGACGCAGAGCTCGTCGGGTGAAGCTCTGGCCTACAGTATCGTGGACTTTGACTGGAGCGAGGCGTCCAACTGGGAGTACGCCAGTGGCGCCATTGTGTCGTCCAACATGGTAACCAGCAACGGTATCACGTTGAACCCGGCCAACAGTGCCGAGCCTATTCGTACCAAAGAAGGATGGAGTGGAGAGAAGGTTGTGTACATTGAATGGGAACGCACCAGCACGAGTGACACAAATATCTGGATGCTTAACACTAAACTCCAGAGCCAGTTCGGAAAGGGCAATGGCTGGCCATACTGGGGGGAACTCGATCTCTTCGAGATGTTTACACAAGACGCTGCGGACATCCCCGCGTACGACTACAGTGGCTTCGGAGGCTTCTCGGATGTCTCTAGCTATGGCCAATTGACGATGCACATGGGTCCAGCGACGGAGAATGGCAGTCCGTGCTTCTGTCCTGCCAGTCCTTCCAAGAGTTCGTGGTACCAGAACACGCAGCCAATGACTTCGGGTTGCACGGCTCAGTTCTCGAACGACGAGTCCAACTCGATTGCCGCCGTGTGGGGCTCGGACGGTACAGGTCAGTACATCCAGCTCATCCAGAAGCCGACGATCACGAAGGGTGGCAAGCTGAATGATGTCGACACGTACGACGTGGCTACGGGCAGTGGCGCTGTCACGTCCAAGATCTACAACAACGCTGAGCTGTTCTGGGGCGTGGATGCCTCGGACTCGTGCGCTAAGGCTGGCGGCCACGACGCTACGTCTGGTTTCCCGTTCTTCGAGAGCTTCCGCATCATTCTCGAGGAACAGAAGAAGGGCGATTCCAGTGCTTCGTTCACGGTCAAGAACATCCAGATCTTCACTAAGAACTAGAAAAGAGTTGAGGGAAAAGTAGGGTATATTGCCTCACTAGTGAACGTTTTTTGCACTCGTTTTGGTTATGAAGAGTCTTCATTGAAGACAACTTAAATGCAAACGTTTGTCAGTTCTATTTGTAGTGCAAATGGCAAATAAATGAAGTACAACACAACAGGGAAATGACGCATCTCCACAGCTTGCACGAGTGTCTATTCTGTCTCGAATAAAGAGGAAGGCTGCTGCCACATGGCACCAGAGTCAAATTGGCCTTCGAAGCGAATACTCGGTGGAAAGGCTGCTTGCGTTTCAAGACTACCACGAACGAACATCACTCTCTCGAGCTGTTGCTGTCTGTGTGCTTTCACCGATCCCAGCCCTGTTAGCAGCACTTGCAATCGACTGTATCCCGCTCCAACTCCCTTCTGACGGATGGCAAGCGAACTACGCAGTGTGGATTCGATTGCTTCTTGCCATGTCGACTGGAGTTGTTTGCCAAATGAGAGCAGTAATTGATCCAGGAACGATCTCAATTTTCGGCTCTGTTGCAATTTCCTTATCCACTGCTGCCTGTAGCGTGCTCGGTTTCCTTTTACTAGCTATACTTTGGACATTTCCGGTGCGTTTTGGCTACGTGCTTGCGATCAATCCGTTCGTACTATTTTTTTCCTTCTTATCTGTGCTGGTGGTCGGTCCGCGTGTGTTGATTCAGTCTCCAAAGTTGAGAAAACAGTTCAAGTCACAATTTATCATCATTGTAAATCAGGGAATTGTGGCAATTTGCTATCCGATTTTCAGTGCTGTATTCAACCGACTTTCAGGGATCCAGCAAACTGCGTTTATCTTTGTGATGCCCATGATCAAGTTTTTCACCAAGCAGAACATCGCGAATGCAGCGAAGAGCTACCTACGGTATTTTCTGTTGATCTATTCAACGTTTATTATGTTGCGATATGTATGCAATCGTCCAAGTCGATAGCCACGACACTGATCATCTTGGCTACCGATGCTTTCCACGTTCTTCTCGCGCTTCGTGATATTTTTCACCGTAGTATTAGCATCCACACTAGTGATTCTTCTATCGACAACGTACGATACTATCTCCGTGCTCTACCTGAAGTCTTACAGAAGGCGTCCCAGGATAAAGCCGCAAATTTAAGTCGCCGTATTCGTCTCTACGCTCCATTCCCACTCCCACTGTCTACGAGGAGTAAAGAACTCATGGACGAGTTTATCAAGACCGGTCAATTTGCCAATGATACCGCCACAAACCGACGATGCTCGGCCAAAACCACGAAACGAAAGTCAGGAGTAGAACCAGCCACGTTAGCACCGTCAAAGCAATCGATACCACTGTTCTCTGCCCTGAAGGAGCACCAAATAGTACCCACCACGCCTGGAGTATGGCAAACCAAAGATTTCTCACTTATACCGCCGTCTCCGAGCTCTCCACAGCTCAACTACAGTGAGAAAGTTATACTGGAGGGCCTTCAAACACTTTTCCATTCCGAATATGTGTTGCTGGCCGAGTACATCGAGTTCATGGTTCCGATACTGTACTCGTTGTATCTTTCAGTGCTGTTTCACTTGCCGATTGCAGTTTACTACTCGCACTCGGCGTCGATGACGGTTGATAAGTTGCATGACACAGTGACCAACATTCTCATTTATGCGGGGATCGAGTTCACTTCGTTTGGCCGGGTTTTCACCTCTGTACCAGTTGGCATTTGTGCTTGAAACCCAGGCGCCTGCTCTACAAGGACACTTGTTCGTCTGGACCATCACCATTTTGCACCTAACGCTAGCACACTATGGTACGCAGATAGAAAGGTTGATTACAGCCTAATCCAACGCTGACTTTGCGTTTTTCCTCAGGTGTCGACTTCAGTATTCTGGCATTGTGAGCATGCAAAACAGGACCGTACAGTGACAAAATTGCAAACTTGGCATAAATTATCGTTAAGAACAGATTGAACTCATTCACTAATAGTTAAGCTCGCCTGACGACACGTTCATAGCTTGGACGGTACGAAGAATGCAGAGCTTGCGTTCGTATGTCGTTGCGCCCTTAAGATCCTCACGGTGCATTACGACGGCGTCGTCGCCGGTGTCCTTGGGGGCTTTCGGAGCTTTCACTGATACGCGTGACGACCGTGTCGCGTGGCCGCATGAGCTCCACGAGCTCACAGTCCTCAGAAATGCGCAGATGCCGGCGGAAGATGCTGCTGCGACGCTCTTTGATCTCGATGCTGTCGTTGCTGCCAACGGATTGGCGGTTGCGCCGACGGAAAAAGCTGCTGCGACGTTCTTTAATCTCGACGCCGCCGTCGCTGCCATCAGAGTGGCGGCTGTCTCTTCGGTGGAACAAGTTGCGCATCGTCATATTTAGTTACACCGCTTGAGCTTTAGGTGGCTAGTTTCGGAATGAGCAATGAACACGCACGAACCAAACGTCGGCTTTGTCTGCATCATCATTTGCACCGGCTTGTGGCTGCGCAAACATTCCTCGTGCATAGTAAAGCCAGGTGATTTGCCGATTACGGTCGGCGTCGGACACTGCATTTGGACCATCCAAAATGGATGCTGGATATTGGTACCGGTGTGAAGAATAATGCGCCAAGGTGGCGCTCTTACAAGTAAGGTCCAACGTAGCTGATACAAATGTACGGCAATGCATGCAGAGACTGTGTTGAGAAGAAAGAAGTCTCTGCGGCTGTCGCACTGGTGCATCTCCTTTTGTCACAAGGGAAGACCGTCACTCACGCGATAAAACAAGTGGCATTAGGCAAACAGGTAGGCAAACAGCATCGAGGCAATGCCACTGATTGTCAGTCAATGAATTAGTGGTGGAGACCACATCGCGGTCGGAGACTTGTGTGCCGGGCGTCTTCAAGGCCATAAACACCAGGCCGCTGCTGTCTTACTCAGTCGTACCGTGTCTGAACTCCAGACCCTGGTGTCCTGGACTACCTACAGTACCTGGCTTAGCATCAACGAAAGCTTGAGGCAATTTTGCTGTACAGTACATATACATGTATGCCAAGAAGTGCGCGGTCTTGTTTTCCTCTTGCTGCGTCAATTTCGCCGATCTACTTATCTTCAAAGGCAGCATGCAGAAATATTGATTTGGTGGCTGGTGCTGTTATCCCGTTGTCACTCCTCCTACAGCGAATGCTAAGACACTCGCTCAACTCGTAAAAAAAAACTACAACGTGCCCTCCCATTTTCACTTTTATTTTGCAACAAAAAGCATCAACAAGCCTGGCAAATTGGCCTTGTACCCGATACGTTGCAATGCTCATGAAGCTGTGAATTGCCGTGTTTGAATACGCCACCCACTTCATAAAAAACGCAAACAGCATGAGAGCTTGCACAAGATTATCGCAATCAGTATCATAAAGTAAGTACAAACTTTGTACTTAGGTTCACTCTACAAAAGATAGGCATAACGCTCAATCCTACATGTAGCGTGCGTCTGGGTGCTTGTAGGATCATCCTACGCCTCTAGCGATACGAAAAGTCTCCCCGCCATCGATTTGAGGTCGCTGAGTGAGTTCTTCACGTTCGATTGGAGCGACCTGGCGGGTCGTTCGTCTCCCGGTCGAGCTCCGTTGCCGTTCCACAGCTTGGCCAGCCATTCTTCCAATGGCGTGAAATCGAACACCTTCTCCATCTCCTCTCGCTTCTCCTTTGATACATTTAGACACTGCAGATCCGACACGACCTCCCAGTCTCCTCCACTCGTGGTCGTAGCATCCGATACTAACAGCCAATTGGCCTCAATATCCTCTTTGGTGCTCTGCTTGCAGCACGCCTGTGTACACTGTGGGATCTCGACCACGACACCACGAGCCTTGAGGTCTGCATAGTAGGCGTCCCATTTCTCCGTCGAAAAGTCGAAACACTCGGCAAACGCCTTCAATTTGCCGTAACTACTCCAGGGCACCGACACTCGACCGGACATTACCATCCCGGCAATCTCTGTGGCTGTTGCCTCGCCCGAGTACATGTACAAAAAGTCCGCTAGACTCACATACACTACCGCTACTTCAGGTAGGAAAGGGTCTTGAGGATGCAACGTCGTGTTGTCCACCTCCAGATCTGCATCGACACAATTATTTTTTCAGTAATTTTGGTTCGAAAGACCTTTCCATTTTTATTGAGCTGTGACCCACCACGACGCATATCAATAGTTCTCATGCACGCAAAAGTGTCCTTGTCGTCTGGAGAGGCTCGGAACATGAATGTTACCTGGTGCCAAGCACAGAAATGCTTAGAAATTGGGAGATTTACGATAAAAAGACGCGTGGCCACATACGACGCCACGGAACTCCGCATCTGGGAGCTTAGCAAAGCGCAGGAAGTCCATGAGCTCGTTCAGCTTGGCCAGAAGGCCCTCGCACACCGCCGCCATGATGGAAGGTGGCGACTCAAGTTTCTATCCGTTCTGAGAATGTAATACGGCGATTCGATTGGAAGATTCATTGAGATGTTTTATCCAATAAAAGCCATCTAAAAATAGTCAGACACGAAATAAAAAGTGTTTTTCTTACGGAGGACTTGGGCTCTGTCATCACTGACAACTATTAATAGGTAACACCCCCTTTTTTGTTGTGCCGAGCCGGAGAGCTCAAAACTTGTTGTGGCAAAATATCCAGCCCTATTAATAGAGCTCCTAAATCTGGCTGTTTGTTGGCAGTCAAACAAAAGTAGGCGCATCGAAGTCACTTGCTCATTCTGGAAGCAGATGCCAAGAGTCTAAAATTGTAGCATTAACAGAGTGTCGACTTGGATGTTATACGTCGAAAGGGCCTGCTTAATCTAATATCTTTTTTTCGTTAGCCACGTAAAAATACATTTTTACATTTTTTTTGTAGTTCAAAAATGGCGAGTCGTGGCAGGGCTGCGTCATCTAGAGCCAAGCAACAACAACCGCATCGCTTCTCCCGACTCCGGCACAAGCTGACCGCTACATGGCAGCGCTGTCGCATTAGTCAGCGTAGCGAATACTCCGTAGAGCGCCTTCTAGCTTTTCGAGACTATCATCGGAGTACTTCAACTACTCGAGTCATTCTGGTTTGTGTTCTGGTACCGATCCCGGCCTTACTCGTGGCTCTTGCAATTGATTGCATCCCACTACGCCCCCCATCCGAAGGATGGCGAGCCAATTACGCAGTTTGGATTCGATTGTGTACCGCTATGTTTTTTGAAGCACTCGGAGTGGTTCTGCAAGTAAGAGAAGTCATCATGACAGGAACGATCTCGAATATTCAAGCTAGTTTTATCGCACTAGGCACAGCCGTCACTTGCGTGCTGGCTACCATCGCTGTAGCTGAAGTTTGGAAATTCCCCATCCCGTTTGGCTACGTGCTGATGACGAATGTGTACGTGATAATACTCTTCGTATGGATGATTCTGGGCATTGGGCCTCGCGTTCTAGCGAGCTCAACAGTGCTACGCCAGCAAATCAAGGCACAACTATTTATTATCGCCAACCAAGGAGTCGTTGTCGTGTGCTACCCGGTATTTAGCGCTGTATTCGAGCGACTGTCGGCAACACAGCAAGGGTTTTTCGTCTTCTTGATGCCGATTATCAAGTTCTGCACTAAAAAAAATATTGCAAACGCAGCTAAAAACTCGCATGAATACGTCGGACCGATGGTTGTTTTCTCTGTGGATCTTTTCAACGTTTACTACGTCGCAATGTGTATGCAAACGGCGAAGTCGCTGGCTACGACGTTGGTAATCATAGCGACTGACAGCGTCTTGATTGTCCTCGCACTTCGCACCATTTACAGACGAGTCAATCGAGTAGACGCAAGCGACACATCGGGTGATGACTCGTATCTTCAGGCTCTGCTCGGACTGGTTAGAAAAGTGTTCCAAGAAACGACCTTCACACGTGACTCAATGCAGCGAATTCGACTCCTCGCACCGTTTCCTCTTCGAATATCTGACGAAAGCAGTGCGTGCATGAAAGCGCTGTCAAAAACTGCGAGGTCTACGAATAATAGCCGAATGTCGACTAAATCCTCTGGACGAACAGGCCAATCCATGACGACCATTGCCGTCCTTCCAAAGCAGCACCAAGTTGCTCCTTTAAAAACGACAATGTCGTCTGTTGCGAAATTCAACAATGTTCTCATCTCCAAAGCCAGAGAAGAAGTTGTCCGTGATGCGCTACAGTCGCTTTTCCATTCCGAGTATATTCTCTTGGCCGAGTACATCGAGCTGATGGTCCCGATGCTGTATTCGCTGTACTTGGTAGTACTGTTCCATCTCCCAGTATCGGCGTATTATCCTCATACGGCATCGATGACGGCACACGAACTGCAAGGGGCTGTGATAACTATTCTGGTGTACGCTGCGATCGAATTTGTGTCATTTACTGCGCTTCTCATTCTATTGTGGCGGAAGTTTGGGTTTTCCCCATTGTATCAATTGGCGTTTGTGCTAGAGACGCAGGGTCCAGCTCTGCAGGGATACCTCTTTGTTTGGACTATCACCATTCTACATTTGACATTGGCACATTATGGTACGTGGGTAATCTATTCCCCCCTCTGGCATCGCTCACGTATTAATCGAATAGTGTGGCTTGCAGGAGTTGACTTCAGTATTCGTCTCACATAAGCGACCCATCTACATGTAGATATTCTAAACACTGCTAAAAAAAACAGTAATTTTATCAATGAAACATTTTTTCGATTTTCAGCGAATCACCATGGATCTCGCTGGTCGATTTTAGCTGTGACAAGTTCTGACACTAATCGGAAACAGTGAATGCAAGTGGCGTTTACATGGATTAATATACCTTTTGTATGCACCATTGCGTCAACCAACGTGATAACGCAGTATGGTGGTCCGCATTCAGCTTCATGGGGCTACTGGACCGTCGTGCAGTGCGGAAACTCCGTCGATCATTATCCAATTTGCCAAGTGCCACACAAGCAGCAACATCAGCCAAACTACAGCCACCATGTCATCCGTCACCGCCGACTACAAGCTCTTCACCCCACTGGAACTCAGCAAAGATCTGGTACTCGAGAACCGCATCGTGTACGGCCCCACGACTCGCGCGCGTTCCGACATCGAGACACATGTGCCACTTGAGCGCAACATCGTGTACTACGAGCAGCGTGCAGGTGCCGGTCTTCTGATCAGTGAAGGTTGTGGCATTTCCGAGCAAGGTTTCGGATGGCACGGCGCTCCTGCCCTCTACACGGATGAGCAGGAGGCTAAATGGAAAGAGCTAGTGGACCGTGTGCACGCCAAGGGAGCCAAGATCTTCCTGCAGTTGTGGCACATGGGCCGTCAGTCGCACCCGACTTTCCACCCCTCCAACGAGGTTGTGTCCGCTTCAGCGACTCAGTACGAAGGTGGGACTACGCGTGACGCGAGTGGCGAACGTACGGGCTTTGAGAAGGCTCGCGCTTTGGAAACGGACGAGATCGCGGAGGTGGTCGAGATGTACCGCCAGTGTGCCATTCGAGCGAAGCGTGCTGGCTTCGATGGCGTCGAAGTGCACGGTGCCAACGGGTATCTGGTCGATCAGTTCCTGCAGTCAACGACGAACAAGCGCACAGACAAGTACGGCGGTTCGTTCGAGAACCGCTACCGCTTTTTGCATGAGATCGTGGAGGCGTTGAAGACCGTGTTCCCTGCTGGACGCATCGGTGTACGTCTGTCCCCTAACGGTGTATTTGGCGGCATGGGCAGCAAGGACAACAACGAGATGTTCACCTATGCCTTCAATCGCCTGTCGGAACACGGGCTCGCATACTTGGCGATGCTTGATGGCTTTGGCTTCGGCTACTCGACGGAGAGTCGCACGTTGACCGCGTTTGATGCCAAGAAGGCGTTCAAGGGCAACGTCATGGCCAACAACAGCTACACGCGCGACACTGCGGAGGGTGCAATTCGCAGCGGAGCGGCTGACTTTGTGGGCTTCGCTCGTCTGTACATGTCGAATCCGGATCTGGCCGAGCGCTTCCAGAATGACTGGCCCGTGAACCCGGTGCCTGACTACAAGTACTTTTGGGATGCCGCTATGGGCGACAAAGGCTACAACTCTTTCGAGCAGTACAAACCAACGGTGGAGCAGCAGCCATAGAGCGTTATTGATAGGCGGGAACTGAAACCTACTCTTACATGCTTAAGTGGGTGGTTTCTGAAAGCACATTTTATTCTATACAACACGTATTCGTCCGTAATGCATGAACGCAACTTGTAATATAGGTCGCCTTTCATTAACCCTTGAACTGCCTTATAAAACTCGCAAAGAAGCACACCAGCTATTAATATCGGTGCTTTCACATTCACACAACGACCATGACGGAGACGAAGGATGGCACCGATGTGAAGCAAGCTGATCGGCTACGATTTTTTACACCGCAAGAGGTGGCGAGCCACAACATAGCGACGGTTCGAGTTTCCACAGTAGCGAATGAATTGCGACGTCTAATTTGCTTCCGCTTGCTGTATTTTTTTGTTCTAAACAGGATTGCTGGGTCTCCATCAACCACCGCGTTTTGGATTTATCGCTGTTGATTGAAGAAAATTCAGGTTAACATTGTCAACGATCTTTTTAAAAGATGAGGCTCTACTTACAGCTTTAGTACGCCTCCCACACAGGAATCCTCGTCCAGCCACTTGTACTTCACGCCGGCGAAGATATCTCCCATTGGTTTGATCCAGAGACGGAAGATGTACGCAGAAAGAAGACAGAAACGCTATCGTAGTTTGCCGCAGTCTCACGTACTTGTATTTGCTTGTCACTCGAGGTAAAATACCACGTGGACTCTGAGCGTAACCTGTCCGTGCCCTTCGTACCGTACGGACGCTTCCTCCACGTACCTCCACCAGATCCAAGTGCTCAATGGTGTACGGCTGACCTGCTACCCTGGTGGCGCGATCCGAAATACGTCGTCGGACGGCTAACCAAGAGAGCTCGTTGGCTTGAGATCGTCAACATGCTCACTCAACAGCGACACTCGCTCGAGGTATGCAGCGAGGAAACTATTGCCGAGATCCAGACGCGTTATCTACGACTTAATGCTCACGCTGGTAGCTACACGTGGAAGCGTCTTGAAGACGACGAGTTTGTGCCAATGCATATGCAGCGCACACTGGACGAGAACGGGATTCCAGACGAAGCGCCCATTTTCGAGCGCTTCGACATGGACGAACACCAGTTCATGCCTACGCTTCATATCTACTACGACGATGATCTTACCGTCATGTAAACAGTAATAGCTGCAACAAAAGACGCTAAATAAATTTCGCCTTTTATGAATATTTAAGTTAACACACACACCACCTCATTGGCAAAGAGTCGCTACGCTGGACAAATAAGGAATCTCTATGATCACCCGAGTTGTGCCTTCGATCAAAGGGCAGAGTGATCCGGGCGCTTATGAGTCAACTGGCTTTCAAGGGCGCTTGAGACCGCCTGAAGACATTCTACGCCAGGCTCGCGCCACAAGGTAGTACCATAAACTCGTTTATCTGAGCTTTTTTATCCTGTCTAGTTGACGCTCTTCAATTACCGTTTTCCAGTATTACGGGAGTTCTGGGCCAAATCGGTTTGTTGTTTGCGTCCTTGCAGTCGTAGGAGGCTAAACAATTCTTAACCTCGTTGTTCCAGCAAGTGTAGCTTCATACGCCTTAGAAATTTTGCAAGAACTCAAAGATGAGACGATAGAGTTGCAGGATCGGATGACGGTGCTACATCGACGCGTGGATATTCTGGCTGAAGTTGTCGACTTTCAACTGTATCAACCGGATGGAGTGAAGAAGCTGCACCTGATGTCCTCTCAAGAGGAAAGTGATCGAGAGCTTGGTATACAGACAACATCGAATTCTAGCGCAATCGACCGCCCGCCTCCAGTCGTCGAAGCCTATAAACGATGTGAAAGCGTTCCTCCACTGGAACTGGTGAGCGAGAACTGACGTTTATTGTCGTAGTATTTCGATCCATGTGACCTGGGTATATGATTTTCCTCCAGTTGGATAGGTTCTGCGACCCCGAGAACCAGCTCGACCCCGACCAGGTCCATTCTGCGGGATCGATTTCGCGGAAGAAGTACAGTAATCCTGGATTCTTCATGGAGGAATGGCTGAAGAATGAGAGGGAAAGACAGCAACGAGCATTAGAAATCAAACAAGAGCGTCGTCGAGAACGTCGTGATGCGCATCATCTTCGTAAGACTCGAGAACTGAACAAAGAGCGCCAGACGTCGAGCTGTGAAGAAACTAAAAGCTCTACATACACCAGCACCGAAGACACCGAGCAGAAGCTCAAATTTCTCAAGATTCGCTCGTGGAGAGAGATTTATGGTACTGGAGAAGGTAAAGAACTCATGAAGCAGCAGAGTGGACGTAGTCCTACCCTACGAGATCTACGCAAGAAAGCACACCAAGGACTTGCTTCAATCAACAAGACGCCACGAGCTGAGGAGCGTCAGCAACCACCTCCTCCGCCCCCTCAACAAGAAGAACGAGTCCAGCAAGTTCTCAGTAATGAGCAGTTCGTCTCGACTCCACCTGATTCGCCGTCATTTCCAACAGTTTTAGGCGGTGCGTTTATGCAAGAAATGGATGACGAGGAGATGGCGATGGAGATGCAACTGGAAGGAGAGTTCACAAACGGAGTCCCACCACCGCCTCCCCCTTTGCCGGACTGTGCACGCCCCGAGGAGTTCACTGACCATGGATTGTCTTACTACCACGACCCAGAGACTCGTAATTTGATACCTCAACAACCTCCTCCACCAGAACTCAATGAACTGAGCATATCGGACGCCTACTACGACACCTACGAGGACGACGACGACACCCCTCCACCGCCACCGATGGAGGAGCTAGAGCAGCCTCCGCCTCCTCCGTTCGAACCGCCTCGTGCATCGTGCCTCCTCGAGGAAATCCAACTAGGGGCGCCATTACGCAGGGCCAGTAACCGGAAAACCCAACGTGAAGCCCCCGCGCGTCCTCGAAGTCCTCAAACAGCGCTACTCCAGCAGATCTTGCAGAAACAGAGCCGCCACTTGCGTCCCGTGGAGCCACGTGCTCGTCCTCCTCTACAGACACGTCAATCTACTGGCGCGCCGTTCGCGGATTCGATCGCGCGCATCCTCGAGCGCCGCACTGTGATCGCCTACGAGTCGGACAGCAGCAACAACAACGAGGACGACGATGATTGGTAGTTAAGCAATCAACTTCAACCAACTGACCATCACTCTTCAAGTAATCTTGGACTTAAGTGATCCACACTAAATATACGTCCTCCACACTACGATCCTCATTCTGCCAGTTTTCACCATGCAGCAGCAGCCCCCGCTCCCTCCGAACCCGCCGCAACCTGCCGGCGACGGCATCCCGTACCTGGGCTCACGCATTTCGCTGGTATCCAAGACGGACATCCGCTACGAAGGATTCCTCTTCAACATTGACACGCGCCAGAGCACCGTCGCGTTGCAGAATGTGCGCTCCTTCGGTACTGAAGGCCGACGAGCTGAGCATGTCCCGCCGTCGCCTCATATTCTGCAGTACGCAACCTTCAAGGCTGCAGAGATCAAGGACCTGCACGTGTGCGAGGCTGCCCCGCAGCCTCCACAGCCACCACAGTCCCCGCAACCTCCTCAGCCTCCAATGCAGCCCCCCGTACAACCTCCTCTACCCTCCGGCCCTCCGCCACCCGTAGCGCTCCCTACACCGGTGCCCGCAGCCCCCAAACCCACCCTTCTGACCCCCGGGTCGGTCTCCAGCGCCCAGAAGCAACCGACTCAGACTCAGGTACAAACTCAGATGCAGAATCAGACTCAGCGACGATCTCAGACGAATAACTCGCGCACGATTCCCGGAATGGGCGGACACTTGTTAAAGCGCAAGGAACGTCGTGTTCCTGGCGGAACAGACGCTGCTGGAGTCCGTCCGGCTGACGCATCGGGCGAGTTCAACTTCGCCGACGGATTGAGCGACTTCAACAAGCAGCAAGAGTTCTCCAAGCTCGAGGAAAGCGCCAAGCAGGAGCCCAAGGGAAGCTACCAGAAGTCCTCGTTCTTTGACACCATCTCGTGTGATGCATTGGACCGATTGGAAGGACAGCGATCCCGAATGAGTGGAGCTGAGGAGAGGAAACTCAACACGGAGACGTTTGGAGCTGTAGGCTTGAACAACCGCCGCAACTTCCGTGGACGTGGACGCGGACGACGTGGGGGAAACCGCAATGGCAACTGGAATGGCGGCCGTGGAGGCCGTGGCGGACGCAACAGCAATGGGTTCCCTAGACCGCAGCCTGCTGGCCCCTAGACTGGTGCACTTGCCAATTTTTTTGACGAGACTGCAGACAGGTACTGGATCGGATACAAAGCAGCAGATAATGCTGACTCATCACATTAATGGACACAGCGAAGCCCATTCTAGTTTCTTATATCGTTTCATTGTTTTACTCAATCCTATGTAGTAGAAACGTAACTTAGAACACAATCAAGTTTCCTCTAAACGTCGCAAGTGTTCGTGGCATCAGGCGCAACGAACGATTTCCGCTAGTGCATCGTAGAATTGCTCGCGGTTCAGCTCCGTTTCGTCCTGTAAACACACAAGAGCAATTCTTAGTGTCAATTGCCACCAAGCTAACACATTTTGGGTTTCCTTACCCAAGGACCGAGTTTCTTGTGTGCACAAGCCACCAGTTGCTCCAGACGCAGTTGATCGTTATCCGTCATTTTGTACACGCGATGTTCTTGCATATCATAGCGAGCGATGTCCAGTTGGGCAGAGAGCCACGTCTCCATCTCATGAGCCGGAACAGTAGAGGCAGCATGCGCCACGAGTTCGAATGGAGGCGGACCGGCGAACAGCGAGTAGCGAAACTTGACGTAGCAACGATGCTCGAGCTCCGTCTTGATCTCTGCGAACTCGGAGCTTTTCAGCTACGAAAGGGAGAAGATTCTGATTAGAACAAAAGGGATAATCTTCAAAAAATTTCCATACTCGTACCTCGAGAAGTTCCGCTAGGATACAGTTGTTCAAGTTGTCGTAATGGAACTTGGCGATGTCGAGCAGATATCTCTTGGCAGCCGAGTCGTCGCCTTTGTTAATGACCTTAACAGCCATGCTCAGCAACTTGGTAGCGTATCCCGTCCACTCGTCCTGGCTGATGGAATTATCATGATTCGCATCCAGTACGTCAAACGGTGGCAGTTTACGAGAACGGAGACGCAACTTGTCGTCCGTTTCGTCGTTTTGCGCTAGTGAGCGCCACGGGAATCCATTGCTCGGATCGGTCTCGGTATCGCGGCGTCCGAACTGACCCGATACTTGAGATAGCGACATTGGTAAAGCTTGTGCTCCATGAGCGGCTCCGATGTCGCCCCACCCTGGAATCGCCTGCACCGCATTCAGGCCCCTAACAAAGCGAGTTTTGCTCTCCCCATGTTTAATCCTTCACACCAAGACAAGTTTTGTCGGATCAGTCCCACCGTCAATGAACCATATCGGATTAGAGACCCTTGACAATCAAGTCACCTCCGCCGCACGTTTAGCTATTTCGACGGTGAGAAAGCATCGCGTGCCTCTTCAACAGGATCTTCGGCATATATGGTAGTATTTCGAGATTTATTTTACTGCAAGTAGACCACTGGTATTGTTGCTATAGTTATTCTGCCACCAAGTCTCAATGAAGAGGTGCAGCAAAATAAAGTGAACCACAACATCCCGACTCAGGTGCTGAGGCGGGCGAACGCTGAAGCTGCGTCTCCAATATGATCTGGCAAAGCTTCAAGGCGTGTGCCACTGCCTGGCGAGCGATCATCGTTACGATGGACTCAGCGCAACAGAACCACAGCAAAGCGTTTGCACGGATCCACGACTTCAGCGACGTCGCGTGAGCAGCTTATTGTTCAGCGACCGGAATGTTTCTACGGAGGTTGTCGACGTCCGGATCATTAAGTGGAAATTCTCCATATTGCGGTGAGACTAAAACCTATTGACGACGACAGTTTGTAGAAGCCGGCTTGCGCTCTCGATGGGATAAGTGATCCCACCATTTCTCGTTTACCCCAGTGTCCGAGTACCCGCTGCGAGGAGTTAAGATGGGGACGATGCTGTCGCTAGCAGCGAAACCGACTCGTTCAACGAGAAGACCAACAACACGTCGTCCTTCGCCAGAAGTGCCGATCATGGTCGTGAAAATACACTCGCCGATAACATGCAACGGCACGACTGGGACAGACAACCACGTTCGTGTCGACCACGGCGAGATGAACGCCCTGGCACAGATCTTCAGGGCGATCGTGAGCGGCGACCGACGATGCAACCATAAAATCCGGCTGCACTGAAGGATCTTCTACGCTACAACACGCCGAAGCTTTACTTTTGAACGTGTACAAGGATTCTCAAATATTAACGACTCTGTATCTCGATTTAGGGGTAGAGCATGCTTCTTAGGCACCGAACGGAATGATGTTTGAACATTGACATAGTGATACCTTACGACCGTTGAGCTTCTGCGCGTCACGAGCGTTTGGTCTCGGAAGGAAGTTACGGTACCGTTCGAGCTGCTCGGGCGAGGCCTCCAGCATGTCACTCACGACAGCCCACTCAACTCCTTCAGAGTAGGGTGGTGTCGTCAATGAGCCCTTGTAGCGGAAGATCCTGCCTTCCAATAGACTGTTGAGTTCGTCACCGCCGACGATCTGGCCCAACGCGACGTGGTCGTGTTTTTTGGGGTTCAACGTGGAAATCTCGTCCCAGAACTGGGCCAGGAAGGCGTTCTCCTTGCCCTCCGTAAAGAAGACACCCACCACCGCCAATGAGCCGTCCTCGGCCTGATGCACCAAGTGCAGCTCCATGGCTCGAGCTTTCCCGTTCACCGTGTGCTCACCCGAATAAAAAAATGCGTTAGAGAAATAGGAACGTCATGAAGACCCAAAACGATTAAACGTACTGGGTGCGTGGAAGTGGAACTGGACAGTGTAGTACTTCTTGCCATTGAGGGTCAGCACGTTTTGCTCGTGGTTGCTCCAGTTCACTTGGAAGTTGTCACCTCCGTGCACGAGATGGATCTCGGCTGATGCTGAGCCCAATTGCAGTGCGTTCTCAGCAGAATTGAGCGGCACGGAATCCATTACGGGGTCCTCGATTATGTCGATCGGAGACTGTGACAACATCGGTTTTGCCTTGACTTTTTGTACGACGATGGCACTGGCAATAGTAGCCTTGTGGTGCAGCACCTTGGAGACCGACGTGCCCATTGTCTTTTAAGAGAGTGAAGTGAAAGGAAGCAGGTAAATTGTAGAATGGCAGCTTGGCTCGACGCTGTCAAAAGCAATAGGACGCTCTCAGCTGAGCACAACGCAAAACTAGACTTGAGCTTTGAAACCGAATAGCGAGTCTAAATGTGGCCGCGTGATTTTTACTGCCGTGGCCAATACCCAAGCAGCTTCAAGGCATCCAGAGGATGCTTTTTGCTCAAGGGCTCAGTTCTGGCGGTTGTTGCTCCGTGCAACATCATTTTCCTCCTCACAAAATGAAGACGGCCCTGCCTACGTCCAGTTGTCGCAACGGATCGACCAAACGCTCGATTACTGGCGCATCGGGGTCTGCTAGCACATGCAAAGGCGGTGGTGTCGTCGCTAGAAGGAGATGCTGGAATTATGTTGAAAGCTCTCGGGACGTCAAGGCCGAGGTGGTTGATGTAGCTTTCAAAGTGGCTGCATTTTGCCGGTGCTTCGATGTTAAACTGCGAGAGAACCAACAACATTCCAAGAGAACCAACAGGATTGAGGTGAATCTGTTGGTTCTCTTGCTGAGCTCCCCGGCAAACATGCCATAAAAACAGCAGAATCTGGTCATGGAACCAACAGATTCCCTTGAACAATTCAATCCGCGCATTAAACTAATAACTTCTCTACCATGGATCGAGATCCCACGCCGAATGCCCATGAAAACCTGTGCCAACACGTGGCCTTGACGCGGCCAGAGTCTTAAGCTTTTACCAAACTTCAAAGTAGCGCTTCAATGCACCCCATCGCCTTGGAGGTGTAGATGATCGGGCTACACTTCCTATTTCTATCGCTCGGTTTGATGACGCGCATCTCGAGGCTAAATGTGATGGACTGGATGCGGAGCTGTTGGACCCTCGGTTACCGAGTCCATACTGAGCGGTAGGGTGAATCTGAATCTGGAATTTCAGGAGCAGCTATCGATTTCTACTCTTGCAAAAAAAATATCTGTCAATGTCATTGCCCCGTTACGCTGTCCCCGACGTTTGTAGCGGTCCGCGATTAGCGAGAAGAACGTCGATGAGCTTCGCTGGTGTTCGGCGGCATGACTTGGGTGAGTGGCAGGGCTCCCGATTATGGCATTGTTATTTATCGGGAACCCTCCCTTTGCATAAATCATATTGGGAAGCATGTGCCAATACATAAATTATGGCATGTACAGTGATCAAACAATAAATAAGAGCATAAAGTAGAGCGACTCAACATCATTTAAAAAATGCACAATCTGTCGAAATCACACCGTTTTCGTGCAGTAATGACACTTTTTTGCCTACTTTGACCGAAACGAAGAGTGAGCACACCGGCGACTTGTGATGCTTAGCGTTTTGCGACCAATTTTTCAATGAAAATGCCGTGGCTTGCCATGAATAGCATAATAATGAAGAAATCTTTTCATAAATTATGGTAGAGGGGCTTTTCTACAAATAAATTATACTGGGATAGTCTGGAAGGCTAGCCAGCCCAAATCGGATTAATTCGTCGCGGTAACTGAAGCCGGTAGCTGAAGCCGATAGACTGAAGCCGGTAACTGTCCGGTTTACCGGGTAACTGTTCGATTTGAGCGAGAACAAGGAACGGACTAGACCAGGTGCAGCACAGCTTGAGCTTCGAGGTCTTCAGCTTTACCCGGGCGCCCTGACATGCGGCGGCATCTGCAGTAGCAACACGCTGTACTGCTGAGCTCAGAAGAGCAAGATGAACGCTCCCTACTTCATCTGCAGCAGGGAGCGGTCATCTTGCTCTTCTTCGATGGCACATACTCCTCTGGCTTCTCCCACGTGATCGTATTGCTGACATAGTGTCGGTAGTAATATCTGCTGAATCACCGGGATGCTCAACAGACGCTATGGATAATGCTGCTAGTCGCGGGAGATTGGACGTTGTTAAATGGCTTCACCACGCTCGACGCGAGGGGGGTACTTTTCGCGGTTTAGACGCTGCTGCCACACAGGGCAATCTTGCTATGCTGGAATTTTTTTACGAAAGCAGGCCGGAGCGTGTTTCAGACGCGGCTTTTCGTATATGTGTAGCAAGAGGAGATCTGTACACTGCTAAATGGATTGCCGTCCACTATCCAGAGTTCGCAGTTTTACAAGTGGTGCTTCAACACGCAACGCGTAACAGATGGTCCAGTGCAATTCTTCTTGCTGAATTTCAGCTAAGCGCCTGATTACATCCTCTCGATAACGACTAACTACAACGACTATGCTTGCATGTAATTCAAAATTCATTGCTAGTTTCTGTTTTGTATTTACATGACAAAAAAAACTAAGCGGTTAACAATGGCCAAACCTCTCGAAGCTAGTTAAATTAGATTTTTCCCTTTCAGAAACTTGCCGGTGGTAAAGTTACTGAAACTGTGTAGTCTACTTGAACCCATCAATCGGTAATCGTCTACACTCAGTCGAATCGTTTCTCTTCTTTCATTCAAAGCACCTCTCCACTTTTTCTTTGACATATTTTGTCCATCCGCACAATTTGCTCGCCTGCTCCTGTTGTCATTCGACAATTTTCGCTTGTCTGCACAACTATGGTGACTCCTCGTCCATGTGATCGAGAAACGCTCGAGACCAAGCTGCCTACAGCAGTCCGTGATCCAGCTATGGTGACTCCTCCAAGTAAGACTTCTCGTGCCGCGGTTAGTGAAGTCGCAGTGGGAACGGCAGAAGTGAAAACGGCAGTTGGTCTACCCCTTTGTGATCGGAAAACTCTCAAGACCAAGCTTGCAGTAGGAACGGTCCGTGATCCAGGCCTCGCGATGATCTCTACCACAGCTTCGAAACAATCTCCTCCAAATTCCGGACTCGGGACAGCTTCGCAAGTGACGGAGAATAACCAAAAGATGTCGCCCACTGTCAAGGGCTCTTGCCCTCAAATAATTGTGGACGCGCGACTGGGAGTCTGCTCGGTATCTGAACAAGATGGTGCCGTTTGTGATTTTGCCGATAATACCCCCCAAACTTCAGTCAGCAGCCCGCAGACTGGTGTTGAATCTGCGCGTATTTATCCTCTTCAGGACTTAAAGCCCAGCACACCTTCTCCGTGGGCGTTTATCGCGCGTGTGATAGCAAGAAATCCCGTGCGTGAATGGAAAACCTGGCAAAATAATGGTACATTGCTTGAAGTTTTCGTTGCCGACTCACCCAAGATCGTTTACCGGGTTACCCTGTTCAACGAGGCAATTACAAGTTATGGTGACGTCATTGTTTCTGGAAACAGTTGCTTCTTCTCCGGCGCCCGGATAAAACCTGCGTTTTCGGCGAAGAATTGCGTTGAGATATCCTTCGGATCCAATGCGGATATTCACCTGGCCCAAACTCCTTTGTTGGATGCCCCGCAAATACCTACCGTTACGATTGCCAACCTTGCGGCAGTTGAGGACGGGTCTGTAACAACAACTATTGCTATTGTGCATCGGTTGGGCTCGGTGAAGCGTATTGTAACGCGGAAGGGGAAGACGACTGATAAGCGAGAGCTACTCCTTGTTGATGATTCCGAGTACCAAATAGTTTGTACGACGTGGGGTCACCTCGCCAATGGAGACATTTTACAAGGCAGCGTCGTCGTTGTGAGAAATGCTACGCTTTCTACGTACAACAAACTCCGGTATCTTTCAGTTGGTCCTGCATCGGAGATTCTACACGAACCTGCGATCGATCGCGCCGTCCTACTCCGTAATTGGTACGGTGGTTTGGCGCCATCCAATACGTTCTCACCTCTTTCCGGGCTTTAAACTTAGCGTTTCGTACGCGACAATTTTGCATTTTTTTAAAAAAAAAGTAAGAGTACAATACATTTTCGTTTTTTTAACTATCCCAGCCTTCGCTTCGCCCTACCGTCTTACCCCGCATATAAGGCATATGTGCTGTAAATGAATACAACACTGCTTGTGTGTTATATTCGTTTAGAAAGCCTATGTGTTGTACAACGAACAAATTGTTCGACTTTGAAGAAGCAAGTTTGTGGGTCCTGGAATCTGGCTTGGCCGTTTAGGCTTGACCTACCTACGCGATCGGCGTGGGCTTAAACCCGCGTCACATGATGTTGTGATTGGTAGCGGGTCTTTTTTATCTGGCTGCGTTGTATACGGAGGTTTTGCGCCTTTCCGATAGTCTGCTAGAACAGCGAGTTTCTCGTGGATACTATAGCTACGTCACTCAGCACTCATGGCTGTGTAAATTATAAAATAGAAGAAGTAAAGCCAAGTAACAGCAGCACCGACAAGTTTGAACAGAAGGGTGGTTGGTTGGGAGCTCTTAAGAATATTCATTGTTTGGTACAGCCTTGTGTTTTAAGTAGGTTTCAGCCACATGTGTTCTAATTAGGTAGGTGGTCAAATCGAGGTTTAAGCTAGATCTCGCGCGAATCCCGTATTTTATTTAGAACACATATGCCTTATATGCGGGGTAAGACGGTAGTTTATTGCATTCGTGATGTCGACGAAATAAATATATTTATGATTTCATAAAAATTTGGACAAGACTATGCCATAATCGGGAGCCGTGCAATGAGTTGCGTTGCGTTTACAGGCGAAAACCTATGGAGCTCGAGCTTACGGAGCTGGAGGTACCAACATTTAGAAATAGGGTCTTATGGTGTACCCAGAAAAGTGACCCAAAGGTCTTGCTGTTGACCCTCACAGAATAGCAAAAAAATGTCGCTAATCGGCAAACTACGATAACGTAATTTGCCAGTTGAGTGCGTGATGCCAATTGCGTGCACGATGCAGAATTTCTACCAATTGTTATGCTTAAAATCAAAATTGCGCAATTGGATTGGTTGATCTCATTTCAGTCAGTTCAGTGCACGCTTTTCAACAACCAACTGAATAAAATCCACATTTTTCAGACTCATCATTTTTAAAAGGGTATTCGATTCTGGCCAGCCACAACCCATTCATTTCATAAGACACGAAGCCATGGGGGCAGACGACGAAGACGTGGAGTCTACAGCGCTGCGCCGAGGGGGGAACCTACACGCTTGTAATAATACCGGCATATTTAAGCTCTGGATGAAGACGTTTGACTCGTATTCGACAAACAACAACGTGAAGCGTCCGGTGGTGCTGGTCCTGGACAACAGTTCGACTCATGTCGAAATCGGTAAGTGCTTTTATTTTCATTAAAATTATTTTTATTATAAACAAGGATTTTGTATTAATCAATTAGACGGGTAAATTTATTTTAGGTGAAGTTTCCGTTTGGTCACGCAGAGGTATTTTGCTCGTTGATCTCCCTCCAAATGCCACTCACCTCTATCAGCCTCTTGACGTGGCTCTTTTCAAGCCTTTCACGAGCATGATGAAATCTACTTTACTAGCCAAAATGCTGCACAGTTCGGACTGTACCATTGCAAAATCGGATAAATACCATCGAGATAGCGTGCCATGCGTATCGTAACGGTGGTGACAAGTCCTGAAAACGCTATAAATGGCTCCAGAACCACGGGAATCTATCCACCATCCTTGCCTAGTTTGCAGGCTTGTTTACGACTGTTTGCGAGCGGTGGAGCACGCAGAGACATTGGAAGGGCGGCATGGCTCAAGCGAAAG